GTCCAAGTGTATATTACTGCCCATGGTTTTAGAGTGGGATGTCCAACAAGCATAAGCTGTGATTGTAAGGTGTCCACATACTGTTGGCCAAATAGTTTATACTGAAAAGTCCATGTAGTTACTATAAAATATTAATTAACTTATCATGAGTGGAAAATGGATCAGGGCGCTTTACAGTAATGATACCTAACATGTATACCTCACTTGTATTGTTTCTGTCTGGGATATTCAAAAGCTATTCTGTACTAAGCCTACTTGCCAGCTATATTTGATTTTGACTTCCTAGATATTAGTGAATAGTTAACTTGCTAAAGACACAACACTACTCCAGCAGCACTGCTGTGTCTGATCCACTCGCACCAGCACAACACACACTAACACACCACCACCACGTCAATGTTACTGCAGTGCTGAGGATGATCCACCACCCAAAGAGTACCTGCTCTGTGAGGGTCCATGGGGGTCCTGACCACTGAAGAACAGGGTAAAAGGGGGCTAACAAAGTATGCAGAGAAACAGATGGACTACAGTCTGTAACTGTAGAACTACAAAGTGCACCTATATAGTAAGTGGAGCTGATAAAATGGACAATGAGTGTAGAAACAAGGAGGTGGTCAGAATGTTATGCCTGATCGGTGTACATTGTTTGTAGAAGCACTATGTAGACTAATTAGTCTTCATTCTACACCACCAGAGCAGTTCTATGTACCTATAATGTTCTCCGCATGCTACAGCTGTGGCCTACACTGAAGTCATCTCAGTGCATTTTCCCCAAACCTCATCTAAGGGTGCAAAGACTTCAAACTGAGGGTGAAACGCTGAGCCTGCAGTCCAAGCATCATCTGGGGCTGAGACTGTGCCTAGCCTTTATGCTAGCATAACATCAGAGACACACTTAGGTGGCTACCTAGCTAGCATAACTTTTAACTGTCCGGTTAACCTATACTGAAGAAAGTCTGATGCATGCTGGTCATTCTGAGGTCATTTTTAGATCATTATACTTTTGTATATGAGGCAAGCATTTTTGCATCATATACAATCCACGCTAATGACAGTTCAACAGTTAGCTACTTTGGCTTCGCTAGCTAGCTAAGAACTTTAGCTGCAAACAGGTAGCCCCAAATAACCCAACCCCAACCAATGGAGGAAACATGAAACCCCAGAATGCTCTGAAGGTGGTCTTTTAGTGAACCGTGATGAAAAAGGTAAAACGTGAGTGAATTTGCATCAAAATTGTTGCTTTTGAAGTTTCCAAATGATTTCAAGCAACATTCATGTCCAATTTCAAAGTGTGTTAATTCCGAAAGCACAGTTAATTCCATACAGCGCTGCCTTTGGAGCTCAGGAGCCCAGCCTTAGAGCTTCTGTGGGAAAGTTTATCTTTCAGAAGGTCAACCTTTAGCAGCTACTGAACCCTGCAGTCAAAGGTTGAAGGTCTCCTCCAGTTCACAGTCCATCTAATCAGTTAAGCTGTTTATGAAGCAACTGCAACAAACACAGAGTTATTAACAAATATGAGTCTTTCATAACTGCTCGTAAGCTTCCTTCCTTCCTTCACATAGATCAGAAACAATAAAGATGATTATGCAGTCTGAGATTCAGAAAGATGTAGCTTATCTTAAACACATACGCAGCTGTGCTGAATTCTGAATTTACTTTAATCATATGAATCGGAGCTTTGAGAAGAACTTTGGAGCCAAGCACAGGTCAATCACAGCAAGTGATCGCTTTCCTGTGTGGAAGCTTTAGTCAACGTAGACTGAAACCAGTGGTAGACGAAGTACACAAACCCTGTACTTAGTTAAAGTAAAGATACCCAAGGTAAAATATTACTCCAGTAAAAGTAGAAGTTCCTCCCTTTAGACCTCCACTTGAGTAAAAGTACAAAAGTATTTGCCTTCAAATGGACTTAAGTATCAAAAGTAAAAGTACTAAAAGATTAATTATGACTCTGATGTCCTATTATCATTTTTATAACAAGACTCTGCTTCATTAACTCATTTTAGGTGAAAATACTCCAGTGTCTCTCTTGGTAAACCAGTCTTTTAATAGAATGTCATTAATTAGTGACGCTGATGTCTATTAAAATTATCATCAGCACAAAACACTGAAGGCAAACAGTTTCCATCAGGTAGAACTGAGTGGCTCTGAAATCACTTTTTACAAACAAGTAAAGTTTTGGTTTAAGATTTAATTGCAACTTAGTTTAAATAAAAATTTGTTTAAATTTAAACAAGTTTAATAAAAACTTTAAACATTCATGCAGATTCACAAATGAGTTTCCTTTACTATGTTGCATCTGTAGGTCTCTGTTCATAAATATAAACTAGACAAACCAATTTACTATAAAATGAAATGGTTTTCGGTTAGAGTCAAGAGTTTCCTCCATCATTTATGTTGAATAGACATTCAACATACCGTTGAACCGTGTGCTGCACTGGGTCGGTATGACCAACAGGTCAAAACAAGTTCAAAACAAAAGTGACCGCTGTGCGCTGATTGGTGTTTTTGCTTTGCACTTCTTTCGTTTTGACATGTTACGTTTTTATGCACACATAAACCAAAAGGAGCGACAGATTTCTCATAATGTAGAGGAGTAAAAAGTGAGATATTAGACTTTGAAATGTAGTGGAGTGAAAGAAAAAAGTCGCCCAAAATGGAAAAACTTCAGTAAAGTACAGATACACGAAAAAACTACTTAAGTACAGAAACAAATTACATTTACTTCATTACTGTCCACCACTGACTGAAACACATAACACATACTAACTTTATTTTGGGGTCTGTTCATCTGAATTGAAAGGCAATATTTTTTCATCATGATTTACAAGCTTATGAGTTATAACCAGTCGTAGGCATAAGTTTTGGCACCCCTGGTCCAATGACATGTTTTCTTGGTTTTCTAAGTGTAAATAAGTGAACACATCCTCTACAGAGACACACTTCTGCACATTTTAATGCACAATTACTGGTTATTTGCTAAATTTAACATACTGTTGGGGGGGGGCATAAACTGCAGACTGTGCACAAGTTATGGCACATTTAATATTTCATGTTTTATGTTAAACTCAGCAAATAAATAGACGTGCAATAAATGTGTAGGCGGTGATGTGTTGTCATTTTTACTTATAAAATCAACAAAATGTCATTTGATCAGGGGTGTTCAAATGTTTGCATATGACTCGTTTTTTGCTTATTTTATTTATTTATATTTTTATTGGAAATACAAATAAATATTATAACATAGCTGCATAGGAGGCTTCACTTACAGAGGATTACTATCAGAAATAAATGTATTTGAGAAACTTAAGAAAGCTTTAAGGATTACATACTTAAGACAAGAACTGTTTTTGTATTATTAATAAAAGCAGAGATTTCCCATTTGTTTTGATGTCATAAATAATAATGAGGCACAAAATGTAAAATGTATCAAATTCGAATCAATAAAATATCTACCAAAGCACCAATATTAGAATTTTAGGACAATATCCAATATTTTTCATGCCAATAGCTCTTGATGCCAATGGTGACACCAATACAGTGGGTCATTCTACAGAAATGTCCACTTTTCTGTCTCTCCATAGGGGTCACTGGTGTCACTGATCCTCACTGGTGTTCCATAATAAAGGAACACCAGAGACATTTTAATGAACAATGTATTTTACTAAACGGCTGCTACAGAGCATCAAACCACAGGTTGTCAATCATGGAATATCCACTAAAATATGGAATTTAATTCATTTGTGTTCTGTTTTATCACAGTTACCTCAGAATAAAGTCGGTCACACCAGTGACTTCAGCTAAAAGCTTCATATGAAATCATGAGCTAAATGAGAAAATCTCTGATAACTGAAAGACACAGTGGACTCACCATGAGCTTTTCTTCTCAGAAAACAGGTAAAAGGAAGTCGGGTGATGTCATCAGTGTGACTTTTATTTCAGAATAAGAGACTTTTTGTTACGCGGTAACACCAGTGACACGACTCCTGGGGACAACAACTTTCATTATATATTTTATAATATTTATTCGGTGTTTGTTTACTTTATGTCATTTAAGTCATATATTTCATAGTCATGTTTAGATTATTGCAGTTAAAATAGCAGAAAAACTTGTTTTTTCCTTCAAAATATGGCCTCAGCCTTCACACATGACTGTGAGGACGAGCTCTTCTGTGGTGATTGGAATTCTATATGATTGATTTAAACACCAATATTGCTGAATTGCGGCTCAAGCAAAAAGTTAAAATAGCTTACTATTTTAAATAAATTGCAATTATAACATGTTTTTCAAGTGTAATATATCTGTAAACGCTAGGGACACAAAAATGGATGTTTCCATAGAACGACTAAATATAAAAAAATGTAGAATTTAAGACTAGATCTGGATTAGCATTCCAGAGAAACATAACATTTACTTCAGTGGGTTAGAAATGCAATAAAATGAATACAAAGCAGATATTTGAACCTACCCTACAAATATGGTTTGGATTGCAAGTTTATAATCTACATTTTCCACATGATTTCTCTGCTTCCAGTGAGACGCAACTGAGAAGTAATGCATATATGCTTTTACTACAAGGGCAGTAATGGCACTAAGGACACTTTAGAGGTCATTAAATGATGAGTATGTTCCTTTCCAGAGAGAACAGGCCTGTAAACACCTCATCCAGGCATGCTAACACAGCTAACAGTAAATAGCTAAGGTCATTTTCACAGCACTGACTGGAGAGGATTCACCTGCGTTCACTCTCAGCAGCGTCAGCATTTACGGCTGTGCTTTTAGGTTTTATTGGGAAAAACTGAAGCACCGTCACAATAACTGACCATAAGTGGTCAGTGTTTATGTGCCTGACAGAGTGAAAGAGAAGAGAAGGTTGGCTGTAGAAGTGAAGTGGTAGACAGAGAGAGGGATGGGAGGAGAAAGTGAGAGAGAGGGAGAGAGAGAGAGGGAGATTTGCTGGGAGGTGGGGCTTTCTACTTTTTAAGGGGTCCGTGGCAGTACACTCCTCCATTCTACTGGGGGAGGCTTCACACACACACACACAAACACACACACTCTAACTCGCACACTGTTGCTTTCAGAAGGACACACACTCACACACACACACACACACACTGGAGATATGCCACACTGTGTGGTTCTGGAGGGTCCGGCTCCGTGGGGCTTCAGGCTTATCGGAGGAAAAGACTTCAGTCAGCCTCTCGCGATCGCCCGGGTGAGTGAGTGTGTGATGATTCAGCGTTTAATATGTAAATATTATGTTAGATGTAAGAGCCTAATACAAATATTTATATGTCTCTGCATGTAATTCTGTTTAGGGGTGGGTACTAAAGGTCCCTTGTTATGATATTGCTATACAGTATTATCATGATTTAAAGGTATCCGGATCAATATTATCATGATACAATATTGTCACATAATAATATCATACGATACTATCTTGATACAAAATTATTGTGATATGAAATTATAATGATACGATATTATCATGATACGATATCACTATACAATATTATCACGATATTATACGATATTATCATGATATGAAATCATCATGATACGATTTTATCACGACATGATATCACGTGATATTATCATACGATATTATCTTGATACAAAACTGTCATGATATGAAATTACCATAATGTGAAATTATCACGCCCTGTGATGGACTGGCGACCTGTCCAGGGTGTATCCTGCCTTGACCACTGGGATGGGCTCCAGCTGCCCCGCGACCCAGATGGATAAGCGGCTTAGAAAATGTATGTGTGTGTGTAAAATTATCATGATACAATATTATCACAATACGATATTGTCACATTATATTATCATGATCAAAATTATCACGATACAAAACTATTGTGATACAATATCATCTCAAAACAATATAATCACAGTACAATATTATCATGATACGAAATTATCACGATATAATATCACAATAAGATCTTATCACATGATATTGTCATACAATATCATCACGATATTATATTATCATGATACGATATTATGATGATACGAAATGATCACGATACAGTATTATCACAATATGGTATTATCATGATACAAAATTACCACAAAACAATATTATCACGATATAATATTTCATGATATGATATTAACTCAATTCAATATTATGATATGAAATTATCACGATACGGTATTATCACAATATGATATTATCTCAATACAATATTATTACAATACAATATTGTCATGATACAATATTATGATAAAATATTGTGATATAATATTATATAATGTTCATGAAACGGTAAAATATCTCACCTTCAACATCTGATATGGGTTCTGTGTTCTATTGTGAATAAAATATGGGTCTATGAGATTTACAAATCATTGCATTCTGTTTTTATTTACATTCATTTACATTTTACACAGCATCCCAACTTTTTTGGATTGGAGTTATACATTAATGTATTATTACAAACCAAAATTGTGAGACAGATGAATCGCCATTCACTCCATGTTCAGCACCGTCTTGTGGAATACGATTCAGTGGATTTTGGTATCCAATTATTCTGCCAACAAGCTACACATTAAAGTTATTAATAATTAAAACTTAAACTAATAATAACATCAATACCACCACTACTGTTATCACTTTAAAAATCCTGATACTATGTTGTACGTTTTACATGCATGTGTGTTGATACTGTATCCTGCGCACCTGTGTTTGAATATCTAATTCACATTTATAGCAACTTGCATCAAACATACACACACACACACACACACACACACACACACACACACACGTCTGTGACAGCAACAGCTGAAATAATAGAGTGCCGCATCCAACAATAAGTGTCAGCCTGAGTGTCAATCCGGGATGCTCAGTTTGGAAACACCCAGAACTGTAACAGTGAAGAGGGCAGAGCATTTCTACTAAAACTAAAGCTGCACTAAATTTAGAGAGAGAGAGGGGGGGGCAAAGAGAGAGAGAGAGAGAGAGAGAGAGAGAGAGAGAGAGAGAGAGAGACAGAGAGAGAGATTTTCTAAAAGCATTATCAGTGATTCATAAGAAAGGCAGCACTGAGACACACCTGTCACTGTAGCGGATGGAGTGTGGCTTCAGCAAATGACAGAAAAGGATGGACAGATGGATGAGTGAATGGATGGGTGGATGCTTGGATGAGTGAATGAGTGGATGAAGGATGATGGATAGATGAATCAGTGGATGAATGGATGAAAGTATAGATGGAAGAAAGCATGGGTAAGCGAAAGGAGAGATGGATGGGTGGAGGAATGGAAATATGGATGGGTGGATGAAGGAATAATCAATGATAGATGAGTAAATGGATTACTGGGTGGAGGAATGGATGAGTGGGTGAATCAGTGGATGGATGGATGAATGGATGGATGAAAGGATAGATGGATGGGTAATTCAGTGAATGGATAGAATGGATGGTTGGTTGATTGAAAGGAGAGATGGATGGCTGAGGGGATGGGTGAAGGAATGTATATATAGATGAGTGAACGGGTGAGTGAGTGAAGAAATGGATGGACGGGGGAATAAGTAAAAGGGATGAATGGATAGATAGATGGACGGCTGAGGGGATGGGTGAAGGAATGTATATAAGGATGAGTGGAATGATGAAGGAATGATGAATGAATGGGTTGATAGATGAGTGAGTGAACGAGTGGGTGGAGGAATGGATGGATGTGTGAATCGCTGGATGAAGGGATGGACAGATGGGTGGATGGATGAAGCAATAGATCAAAGGATGAAGGGGAGATGAATGAGTAGATGAATTGATGAAGGAATAAATAGATGAATGGATGTTTGAGTGAAATGAGAAATTAACTAATAGATTGACGAGTGAATGAATGAATGGGTGGACTGATGGACGAGTGGATAAATGGGTTAAGGAATGAATGAATGAATGGATGAATGGATGGATGGAGGAATGAAGGAATAAAGCAGTAGTTGAATGTCTGGAAGAATGGACTGATGGACGAGTGGATGAATGGGTTGAGGAATGAATGGATGAATGGATGGATGGAGGAATGAAGGAATAAAGCAGTAGTTGAATGCCTGGAAGAATGGACTTATGGACAAGTGGATGAATGGGTTAAGGAATGAATGAATAAATGGATGAATGGATGGATGGAGGAATGAAGGAATAAAGCAGTAGTTGAATGCCTGGAAGAATGGACTGATGGACGAGTGGATGAATGGGTTAGGGAATGAATAGATGAATGGAGGAATGAAGGAATAAAGTAGTAGTTGAATGCCTGGAAGGATGGACTGATGGACAAGTGGATGAATGGGTTAAGGAATGAGTGGATGAATGGATGGATGGAGGAATGAAGGAATAAAGCAGTAGTTGAATGCCTGGAAGAATGGACTGATGGACGAGTGGATGAATGGGTTAGGGAATGAATGGATGAATGGAGGAATGAAGGAATAAAGCAGTAGTTGAATGCCTGGAAGAATGGACTGATGGACGAGTGGATGAATGGGTTAAGGAATGAATGGATGAATGGATGGATGGAGGAATGAAGGAATAAAGCAGTAGTTGAATGCCTGGAAGAATGGACTGATGGACGAGTGGATGAATGGGTTAAGGAATGAATGGATGGATGGAGGAATGAAGGAATAAAGCAGTAGTTGAATGCCTGGAAGAATGGACTGATGGACGAGTGGATGAATGGGTTGAGGAATGAATGGATGAATGAATGGATGGATGGAGGAATGAAGGAATAAAGCAGTAGTTGAATGTCTGGAAGAATGGACTGATGGACGAGTGGATGAATGTGTTGAGGAATGAATGGATGAATGAATGGATGGATGGAGGAATGAAGGAATAAAGCAGTAGTTGAATGCCTGGAAGAATGAACTGATGGAAACAACTAAAAACCATATTCATCATAAACAGACTGACTGTAAACTCACTATCAAAGCCACAGTTATACTATTCCAGCTCATGTTTACATGAGACCTACAAGCTTTCTCATGACCATCTGCGTCCACTGCTGGAAGGTTTGACAGTGCAGGAACGTGTCCCGTCTCTTTGAGGGTTCCCAGCTGTTCTCCTGGAGCTCTTCGCTCTGCTCTAATGAGGTTTGGCTCTGCACTTGCCCTGCGCTTCAGCCCAACACAACACTGTTACCTAATACAGCCGCACACGGCCATTTTTGGTCAAAAAGCACGTCGTCTCCTTCTCGGTCCTCTTCTCTCTCTCACTCTGTCTCCCATCACAGATGGCACTGTAACCTGGCCCATGTTGGTCAAAGCACGGGGGTGCGTTTGGCCGCAGTACCTGCAGTTATCATGGCAGAAATGTGGTGTGATTCTTATCCAGTCACTCGCAGAACGTAGAGACAGTGGGTGGCAACGTCAGGGGTGCTTTAACCTGCCTGTGCTCCCTGGGGCTGCAGGTGACCCTAGGCCTTATGGGTGTAACCACACACAGCATTTAAAGACTCAGAACCTTTGTTTATAATGAATGTGCACCATTGATGTCCAGCACTGCCATTCATCATGTTTTCATTACTGCACAAACCTAAAGCTGGAGTTGGCTTCTTCTCCGCCAGGGTCTCTTTCAGAATTTCCATTCCACCTTAAATGGAGCCACAGTTGTATTCTGACGCATGTGACTGCTGCACCATTTAAGGTAGAATGGAAAACATGAATAAGGACGCCAGTTTTAGCCTCATCAAACTTAAACCCAGAACCAAACCGACCACTAAAATCCAGTCAGTCGAGGGTTGAAATTTGCAGCTTGAGATGAACTTCAACTTGAGCTCATATGTGCTCAGCCAGTCTGTCACGTGATGCTTCTCCAGCCGCGTGTGATACAGTTAACTCTGTAAACCATCAACATCACCAACACAACACGATCTACGACAAGCTAGTCTATCGTGTGATTCAGTGGCGAAGGAAGAGGTAAACGTTTGGGTAGGCCTAACTCGGTGGACACACACAGACACCCAATGTTCTCCCCTGTTCTTAGTGACCTACAATGTTCTCCCCTGTTCATACTGACCTCCAGTGTTCTCCCCTGTTCATACTGACATCCAATGTTCTCCTCTGTTCATACTGGCCTCCAATGCTCTCCTCTGTTCATACTGGCCTCCAATGCTCTCCCCTGTTCATACTGACCTTCAATGTTCTCCCCTGTTCATACTGACCTACAATGTTCTCCTCTGATCATACTGACCTCCAATGCTCTCCCCTGTTCATACTGACCT